CGCCTTGTTGATCTGGTAGGTCGAACTCCTTCGCTGGACATCCATACCGCGTTGCCATCTGGAAGCTGGAAAAAGTCCGAGAGAGAGAGAGAAGAGATACAACAAATCAATACAATCAACGAGAGGATACACACACACATATATATATATATATATATATATATATATATATATATAGATATACTAGAACCACGCGCGCGCGCTTCGCGCGCGCTTAGGTTCTAGTCACACTCGCGCCCACTCTTAACATTGGCGATACCGCCACGGCTACGATTTCTTTTTGCGCCATCACCGCGTTCACGATCACTTCCGATTCCATGTCCATCCTGGGCATGACCACCTTTTCCACGACGATTGCACTTTCCGCGACCATTGTAACGGCCATGCGTTCAATCTCCGCCTGTATCACCACCAATACCACGACCATTGCCACTGCCACTGCCGCGACCACCACGACCACCATCATCACCACCACGGCCAGTGCCACCGCCACCGCGTCTACCATCGTAACCATCAGTAGCACCACAATCGGCGCACGAACTGCAGTCATCTCCACCTGGACCCCATCCGGGGCTGTCCTGGGTGAGAAGAGAGAGGTCGGCACGCCCGCCCTGGGGTCGGGTTGCATGCCACCATCCTTTTTTGTTGGGCCCGGGGCCGGCACCGGTGGCCGAGAACGGCCTCAGGAAGCGAAGAGTTGCCCGGAAGCTTCGGGAGCAGCAGAAGTACCCGAGGGCGTCCGGTCAGAGGGTTGTTTGGGGCCTCTTGGGTGCCTCTCGGGGGTCTATTGGAGGGTTCTTGGAAGCCTGCAGCCGCTTGGGGGCCCCCTGGGGGCCTCTCGGGGCCGAGGGCCCGCAAAGTCAATCGGATCCCCTGTCTTGGGGGCCTCTTGGGCCGTCTTGGGCGGCTCTTGGGCCGGCTTGGGGCTCCTTGGAGGCCTCCTGGGCCGTCTTTGGGCTCTCTTGGGCCGTCATGGGGCTCCCTTGGGGGCCTTTTGGGCCGTCTTGGAGCTCTCTTGGGGGCCTCGAGGGCCGCCTTGGAGCGTCGGAAAGCCGGGAAAGCGAGAAAGCAAACAACATCGTAAAGCACAATGAAAATCAACGATGTTGGCCTCGTGAGGCCATCTCGGATCGCCTCTCGGAGCTCTCTGGGGGCGTCCTTGGAGGCCTCTGGGGCTGCTTGGGGGCCTCCTGGGCGCCTCGTGGGGCGACTGGGGGCTTCTTGGGGCCGACGGCCCGCACAGTCCATTCGGGTCCTCCCCGTTTGGGGGCCTCTTGGGCCGTCTTGGGCGGCTCTTGGGCCGTCTTGGGGCTCGCGGGGGGGCCTCCTGCGCCGCCTAGAGGCTCTCTTGGGCCGTCATGAGGCTCCATTGGGGTCCTGTTGGGCCGTCTTGGGGCTCCCGTGGGAACCTCCAGGGCCGTCTTGGAGCGTCGGAAAGCTGGAAAAGCGGGAAAGCGAAAAAAGAGAAAGTGAGAAACCAATGCAAATCAACGATTTTGGCCTCGTGAGCCCATCTTGGAACGCCTCTTGGAGCTCTGTTGGGGCCGTTTCAAAGTCTATAGGGCGGTCTGTTTGCCGTCTTGGGCCCATCTTTGGCCACGGAGGCTCCCCGGGGACTTCTGGGAGCGTCCTGGGCCTCTCTGGGGCGGTCTGGCGCCTCCAGGGGCGTCCCGGGAGCAACCCAAGAGCCCCGGAACCCCCATGCGCACCCGAGGTCGCGGTCCCGGGCGCCCCGGTCTCGTGCACGGGATATATATATATATATATATATATATATATATATATATATATATAGATAGATAGATAGATAGATAGATAGATAGATAGATAGATAGATATATAGATAGATAGATAGATAGATAGATAGATATATAGATAGATAGATAGATAGATAGATAGATAGATATATAGATAGATAGATAGATAGATAGATAGATATATAGATATATATATAGATATATATAGATATATAGATAGATAGATAGATAGATAGATATATAGATATATATATCGATAGATAGATAGATAGATATATATATAGATATATAGATATATATATATATAGATATATATATAGATAGATAGATAGATAGATAGATAGATATATAGATAGACAGATATATAGATAGGTATATATAGATAGATCGATATATTTATATAGATAGATCGATATATATATATACATATATATATATAGATAGATATATAAATATATATATATATATAGATAGATAGATAGATAGATAGATAGATAGATAGATATATAGATAGATATATAGATATATAGATAGATAGAGAGAGGTGTCTGTCAGCCCCGGGCAAGCTCGGTGCTCCTGGCACTGACGCCGAATCCTCGCGCACACACTCACTACTATCATGACATGATATGATATGATTTCCGATGCTGCGCTAGGACATGTCGCGCTAATGATGACGCCAAGTCTATCGTGTGGCAACTCAGTGCTCTACCATGCTAGTGATACGCAATGCTATACGAATGCCGTGCGTTGCTGTGCAATCATGATCACATGCACGATGAGATGCCACGCTTGGCTCTGCACTGCCATGCAAATTTATGGCATCATATGCGCACGTATGCAACGACACTACTCTTCTACAATCGAAATACATAATTGAGCAGGGACCGATCGTCCCGGCTTTCCTATGGGCCTACCACGAAATTCCCTTGGAGCCCGATAATGCTTTGAGAACAAAAACAATGTTCTCAGAACAGAAGCCCGATGTGCTTAAGCAAGACAACCCAGGCAAGAACAGTTCTGATAACATCCCGTGCAGACCACAAAAGGCTCTGAGAACACTGTTCGGTAGGCCTAGGAGGCAAGCCAGAACGCTTCGCCACTGCTTGATCTGAGAAGAGCGGGCGGCAAGGACGCCATGGCCTTGCACGCCGCAGATGGCACTTTTTTGGGGGGGAGGGCGGCTGGCTGCCAACACTCCCGAGGCGCTGGCCGGTGAAGACCGCGACGGGCGGGCCGCAGAGGCGGGAAAGCAGAGATGCCCCGAGGACAACCGTGCGTCCCTACTGTGATAGGCGGCGAGAGATGGGGCCCAGACCCCCTCGGGCAATGAGAAAATCATGACGGAAAATCCCACCAGCCCTTTGGGCGTGAGTGGTTTAGGGAGCTCTCTCTGTCCTCAACCCCCCTTCTTCCCCTTCGGGGAGGGGTTTACCCCTCCCCCTACCCCCTCCCCCTGGGCCTGGAGAGGGCGGGCCGCGGGTGGTCAGGGGGGTCTTCTTTCGACTCCTGGGAGGGCCAAAAAACGACGACCCTCACGAGGATTCTGGCCCCGTCGGGGGGATACAGAAAAAAACCTCTCCTCTTCTGTGAAGCCAAAATCATGGATTTTACTACGGTTTTGGCCCCATTTTGGCCTTCTGAGGGGGCAGCGCTCCTCTTCCTTGTTCTCAAAATCATTGATTTTACTAAGGTTTTGGGCTCATTTTGTCCTTCTCAGGGGGTAGCGTTCATTTGCGCTTCTGAGGAGGTCGCAAGAAGCCCCCAAGAGGCCCCAAGATGCCCCCAGGAGGCTCCCAAGAGGCCTCCAAGAGGCTCCCAAGAGGCCCCCAAGAGGCCCCCAGAGGCTCCCAACAGGCCCCCAAGAGGCTCCCACGAGGCCCCCAGAGCCCCCAAGAGGCTCCCAAGAGGCCCCCAAGAGGCTCCCAAGAGGCGCCCAAGAGGCCCCAAGAGTCCCCCAAGAGGCCCCCTAAGAGGCCCCCGAGAGGCCCCAAGAGGCCCCAAGAGGCCCCCAAGAGGCCCCCAAGAGGCCCCCAAGAGGCCCCCAAGAGGCCCCAAGAGCCTCCAAGAGCCCCCCAAGAGGCCCCACGAGGAGCCCGAACGACTCACACCAGGACGAGGGGCCCGAACGACTCACACCACGAAGAGCCCGAACGACTCACACCAGAAGGAGGGGCCCGAACGACTCACACCAGGACGAGGCGCCCGAACGACTCACACCACGAGGAGCCCGAACGACTCACACCACGACGAGGGCCCCGAACGACTCACACCACGAGGAGCCCGAACGAGTCACACCAGGAGGAGGGGCCCGAACGACTCACACCAGGACGAGGGGCCCGAACAACTCACACCACGAGAAGCCCGAACGACTCACACCAGGACGAAGAGCCCGAACGACTCACACCACGAAGAGCCCGAACGACTCACACCAGGAAGAAGGGCCCGAACGACTCACACCAGGACGAGACACCCCAAACGACTCAAACCACGAGGAGCGTTTTCTCTCCCTCCTCCTCCGCCTCGTCCTTCTCCCGCTGCCCCCACAAGGAGGATGTACAAGGAGGCGGGAGGAAGGAGGAACAGGGGAGATATGCGGGGCAAAGCGGACACACGCCTGAAAAACACAACTGTCGGCATGCTTCGCAAAAGTTGCTGTTGTGAGATGGGCTGGTGGGGATACGCGAAGCGTAAAGAATTTCTCTGTATGCTTTCGGCCTCTGGGGGCCCTCACCCGGCCTCGGTACGGTCAACAAAAACGACTCAGGACGAGAAGCCGGTCCGGGGGAATGGGTCGGGACCTCGGGGGTCGACGTAACGAAACAAAAAACACGACGTCGGGGGTGTGGGGGTGGGGGAGGGTGGGGGGGATAAAAAGGGGAGGGCCTTTCCAGAAGGCTCGGAAGGCCCCTGGCCTTCCGAGCCTTCTGGAAAGGCTCACCCGGCCTCCCACGGAGGGCCAGAAGAGGCCCGTCTGAGAAGCCCCACCGCTTCCCGAGAAGGCCTTCGCCTCCCCGCTCCCCCCCCCCCCTCGGCGAGCCGCCGAGACTGGCCTTCGGGCCTCCGGCGGCCGTGGGGGGCGCTCCCGGCCCCCCCCCTCTCGGCACGCCCTCGGCGAGGCGCGGCTGCCCGAGCGCACCCCGAGGCTGGCCCGTCGCCGAGGGCCGGCGACGCCGACAGAGAAAGCCTGGCGGCCTGCCGTGCGCCGCCGTGCGCCCGGCGACCTCCCCCGGGGGGGGGGGC